TGGAAGGCAGCATTCCTTAAAGCAGCAGCTGCAAATCCCTGGGGCTACTCAGCTGTGTTCTCGGGGCTCTCCTGAGTTTTCCACGAGAACTTCTTAATGTTGTATTGGATTTCAGTGATACCACCTTTAATTGCTTCAGTACGCCTGGACCACCTGAAAGCCACTTCCTCAGAGTGTGCTGCACACAGTCTTAGTACTTGCGTTTGGGTTTGTGTTTACAGTCCTGTCTGTGCTCAGTGGAGGTCAAGGGACACCCTTGCCCGCTTCCCGAGTGAAGGCTTGGGGGTGGTCTAAACAGAGAAGAGGTAGGAGGCTGGGGTCACCACAGGGCAGGCTTATGGCAGCCAGGGCCTCTAAGACGCAGGGCAACCTGCACTGTACCAGAAGGTCCCACTCACAGGCTGGGAGCAGACCCAACGCCTGGACCTTCTAGGGTTGAATGACGAGGCCCAATTATCCTAAACTAACAAAGCGCCAACGTTTGTTAATATGCTATAAAATTTACTCAGGCCACTGGCCTTCTCTACTAAATAATGACAGAACACAGAGAGAGCTTAAACAGAACTAACCCAAGGTTAGAGTTTTCTGTTGACCAAAACCCACATCAGAGATTTAGTTTTAACAATGGCATGAATCACATTAAAATGATGCTGCTAAATGTGAATTCTACTGGTTTTACAGTTGTCCTTGTATTTAATTTTGTAAAAATATGTTGGCTTCTTATGCCATAGTCAGATGACTTTTGCATCTACTTTTATGTTGCATATTCAGGCAAGGTTAGCAAAAGAGCCCCCCTCGTGACCCTCAAAGGCCCCTCTCCCTGTGGTCTGTCCTCAGCCCATTTCCTTTCTCATGCTCCATACTCTCCTCTGATGATCAATCTCATTCCCACCATGGCTCTAACGCTACCGGCAATTAAATCTGCAACTGCAGCCTAAACTTCCCTCCTAAGCTCCAGGTCCACATCAAGAAATATCTATCCGTCACATCCGCCTGAACAATCTATGGCAGCTCAGAGACATCGGGAACTGACAGCATCTTCTGTGACAACTTTCCTCTAAGTTCCAGGTTTCTGTCCATGACACAACCATCTACAGGCACGCAGATCAGGAAGGCCTCTTCCTTGGCTACATAACCAGGTGTAACGAGCCTTCACCTTCTGGGCCCTCTCAGCCCCAGGAGGCCCTCATCTCAGTGTGACAGCCCCTCCCGCCGAGATCACTGCCGTTTACTCCTGTTGGCCCCCACTGCCTCCAGTCCGTTCTTGTCTAGCCCATGCGCCATACTGCCATCCGAGTGATTTTTTTTTTTTTTTTTTTAAGTGTAAATCCAACCATGTCAGTCCAGGGCTTCCTTCACAGATTCCTGTGGGCAGAGCTGTGCCCCTGCTTCTGCAATCCTGAAAAATACTTCAGTGAAGGCATGAAGGGCTGGGGGTGGGGTGGGAGCCACAGAAGCAGGACAGAGCTACGCACAGTCTAATGCCTGGTGCACACCTGGTAGAGCCAGCGTCTGGGCAGCTCCTGAGCACCCCCCAAGCTGTGCCGCCACGTCTCACAGCACAGCCCAGGCAGGAAGGGCTGGGCAGTCAGGCAGTGGGCCCAGCCAAGCAGAGGAGCTGTCTGTACTTAGCTGTCCAAGCTGTTCCTGCTCAAGGTTTACAAAAGCCCTGAGCGGGCTCTGGGCTCACACTTCAGAAAGCTGTGTCTTCCCATCTTACACCCTCATGTTTTTCAACGCACTTGCTCCCTGGCCCAGCATCTTTCTGTGCAAGTTACTGAGCCCACAGCTTTACAGCATTATGGCAGTGATTATATATTGCTTATATTAAAATAAGCATACACTTTTCCTGGACTCTAGTCATCGATTGTGTCCGGCCACCCTGCCAAAGGGTGGGCCCCGTAAGTGCACAGTCCCGACGCCTGGCACAGAGCAGACACCCAGAACGTCTGTCACAAACAAATGAATGGGCTCCTAAAATGCTCTGTGGCATCTCTATGTTAGCATTTATTCAACAGTGTAGCAACTGTGAATCTCCTGTCTGTTTGACCCACTTGAAATTGAGCTCCTGAAGGGCATGGAGGCTGCATGCAGCATTTTCTTCTGAATCCTGAAGGCCTAGCGTACAGTAAGTGCTAAGTAAGACAGAGAAAAAGCAGCAAAGAGGCAAGGAAGGACAGATAGAGCAACCGATCTGGAGAGGGACTAGAGGAGAAGGCAAAAACCAGGGCAGCAGCGAGGGTGTATGGATGCCTGAGGAAGACAGACGGGGAGGAGGTGGCAGGCGAGAAAGGAAGGCGGCCGGGGCGAGGCGGGGTAGGAGAGCCAAGTCCCTTACACACAGCTGATAACCAGCAGTAGCTTGGACACACTCTGCAGGTGGAAACCGTTGGGGCTGTCCTCGGGGATGTGCCGGGTCTGCGTGGAACCTGTGGGGAGGAGGAAAGAGGTCATCACCACGTGGCCCGCCAGCCCACCAGCGACCGACGTGATGCTGGTCACGCACAGAACTGCCCGTGACGCTGTCGTGGCAACGATGTGAGACGCGGACCTGGCCCTCAGGGAAGGGAAGCTCCTCGAGGGCAAGGGGGACAGGAAAGTGACGGAACAAATGAGAAAGTCACCTGACCTCTGTAGCTAGAACATGCAGATGCAGGACAAAGCGACCTGCAGCCGTGGAAGGGAAACAGCACTGGGCTGGGACCAGAGACAGCTTTCAGCTCTGGCTTCATCTATAACTGGCCACGGGATGTTGAACGAGTCATGTAATCCACTGAGGGTCAGTTTATTCAAATGCAAAATTAGCCAGGAGTCCTGTATGTAAAACTCATGAACAACGTGGGAGTGCTCTGGCTGAAGCCAGGGGAGGGACAAGGAAGGCTGGCACCCTCCTCCTCCCCCTGCCCTGCCCCATCCAAATCTGATGAACGTCCGGGGAAGTGCAGAGCACAGCCTGAAAATCCCTTGCTGCATGTTTCTGCGACGAGCAAAGACAGGAGGTTGTGAATGGCTGGATGGGACGAGGGAGCCCCACTGCCTGGCAGGGGGCCAAGGAGGGGGCTGCCTCGCACTCCCTGACCTTTGTGTCATGCGGTAACCCTGGGGGCTGAGCTTCGGCTTCTCCCTGGGGCATGTCCCAAGAGCTCGGAAGCCGCAGGCTTGAGCCGAGGCATGCAGGGAGCCATGGAGCTCAGGGAACACGGAGGCAGAAACCCAAAGGCAACTTCTGTTCAGCAGAGCACACAGCGGGGTTCAGCAAGGGCCGAGGAGCTTAAGGGCAAAGGGGAACGGCAGAGCATCTGGAGCCTCAGATGTAATGAGTCGTGAGCCAATTATACACAGTCCACCCCAGGCTGCAAAACGAGCACGCACGCCTGTGTGCCCCGCGTAGGCACGCAGCTCCCGCCCACAGCCCCGAGCCACGCCTCCCCGGGCCCCACCCGTGCACACCTGCCACGTGCTTGATCCTGTGGCCCACATCTTCATCGGTGGGTGTGGTCACGGGGCTCATCGCCTCTTCCAGGTGGGGCACCCGCAGGTGGGCATGGGGACGCTTCCTCCTCCGCACCGACGGGGCCTTACTGGCCTTCTCCTTGGGAGACTGTCTGTGCAGCTCAGCCAGGTAGGTGCTCTCCGTTTTGGTCAGCTCGCTCTCTGTCAGGGTCAAAAGGCCACATCAGAGGACATCTGCCCCTACCTCCAACCCAGCACACTGGCCTCCAGAAGCAGCTGTCTACCCCTAGCCGAACCTTCTCTAAGGGGACCATTTTCCCCTACTGTACTCCGGGATGTTGCCTGGGAGGGCGGGGGTCCCTCAGGGAAGCCCATGAGCCCCAGGAAATACTCCTGGGACCCAGCCCAGCCCAAAGCCCTCTCTGGGTCGTTCACCAGTGTGTAGAGACAAAGGCCCCCAACATGCGCCCTCACGTATGCAATGTGGGGCGCGTCACGTTTCCCAGTGGACGCCTTCACGGGTTACTTCCTTCTCACGACAGAATCACCGCCAATGAGCCTGGATCTCAGGCTCACTTTGCGGGGGGTCATGGATCCCTTCATGACGATGATCTCATAAAGGTTACGGTCAGAGCCTCTTGAACGTGCATTCATTCACATGCGTGCTGAACTTTGTATCCATTTCTGGAGCCCCGTGAAGCCTGCTCACTGCCCCCGCCTCTCCCCGTGCCCCATGCCTCTCACACCCTGAACGGTGACAGCGGAACGGTTCACCCGACGCCAGTGGCGGCTCTCACCCAAGTGGCGGAAGTAATCCTCCAGCCCGCTCCAGAAGTTCTTCTCGATGAACGTTTTCACCAGCCCCCAGGGCTGCTTGCGATAGCGCAGCTCTGTGGAGACCCTGAGAAACGAGCCACAGACAAGGTCAGCCGCTTGCTGGGCGGGGCTTCCTCTGCGGGGAAAGGGGGCCTCAGGTTTAAGGGCAAAGCGGCAAATTGGTGCTGCCCTTTACAAGTTGAAAAAGCCCCTTCACATCCACATCACCTGATCTCCCGGGCCACCCCCTGAGGTAGGTGAAGCTGGTGGATTTACCCTCATTTCATAGAACAGAAAACTGAGTCTTAGAATTTGTAAGCAGACCAAAGATTAACAAGAAGGGCTCTGACTCCAAGCCCAGAGCTCGCTCATGATGCCACTCGGCCTCATCCCAGGAGGGCTCCGGATGGCGGGCAGCCTGCCGGCCCCAGGGCCCTTCTCTCCTTCTCCAGAGACTTTTAGCCCAGGCCAGGCTCTCGGGCTTCGCGGCTTCCACCTTTAAGGGCTTCATCAGCTCCTGGCCTGGCCCCTGCCTCTCCACCCTCCCCGGGACCTCGCCAGCTCCTGCTCTGTCCCCAGCACTCTGTCCCCGTCGTGGGCGCCTCCGCTGTCCCGTCCCTGCAGCATCACCTTCTGCTGCTGCACAGCCACGCTGCTCTGCCTCTCCTGAAGGTGCACTTTCATCCGTTACTAGATGCTCCCAGTTCAGGCTCCCCACGTTCAAGACCCCCTGCTCTGCCCTCAGGAGGAAGAAGGGACCTCACCCCCAACCCCGGTCCGACGTGTGTGTGTCCACGGCCACGTCACCCCCACCCAGCAACTCTTCCCTGGATTGAAGGTGGGCACCTCTCTGTAACGGTCTGTCTGGGGTCAACCAACTACCTCTGCGTGAGCTGGACAGAAGGGACATCCAATTGGAAGACCCTCCAAGGAAGCTGGAAGCGAGGAACACAGATGCTGCAAGGGAGGGACGGTGGGGCAGGGGGGAGAAGAGAGAGAAGGGAGGGAGTGGGGGGCGGGAGGAGAAAAGGAAGGAAGGGAGAGAGGGAAGGAGGGAGTAGGAGAGGGGCGGGGAGGGACAAGGAGTTGCTCAGAGAGAAGCACTGAAACCAAAAAAAATGTTTCAAAGATGAGAAAGCGGGGCTTCTCTGGTGGAGCAGTGGTTGAGAGTCCGCCTGCCGATGCAGGGGACACGGGTTCGTGCCCCGGTCCGGGAAGATCCCACGTGCCGCGGAGCGGCTGGGCCCGTGAGCCATGGCCGCTGAGCCTGCGCGTCCGGAGCCTGTGCTCCGCAACGGGAGAGGCCACAGTAGTGAGAGGCCCGC